ACATCACAACAGATTTGGGGTTTTAGTTGGGATTGCTATTAGGTACCACAGTAACAGGTACAACGCCCTGATGGATGACAAAATCACTCACGCTGCCAAGAAGAGCACGAGAAACTGCCCCAAGGCCACGAGTTCCCATGATAATCAAATTCGCGTGCATATCCTGAGCTGCGCGGATGATACCTTCGCCTATCTTTTCGGCAGGTTTACTGAGGAAAGCACAATTCAAGGCCGCTGCTTGACCTTCTGCAGTGTAGTCCTCCTCAAGTTGTCTCACTTTATCCACCTTTTCGCGAAGTTTCTTGTTCCATTCCTCTACAGGCACGGATCCGAGACTGTTTAAACTGAATGCGGTCAATGAGGGGGCTTCAAAAATGTGCAGAAATGTCACTCCATCATCTGGCATTCTGGAATGTTTAAGATACCATCGGAAAGCATATTTTGCATTAGCAGAACCATCTACAGCTATGATGATTCTGCGACCCCCTTTTTCTGGAATTCCGGAAAATCGCCTTTGCATTGCGTTGGTCATTGTGGAATGAGTGTTCTTGCAGGTAAGTGCAATTGCTTGGTTGCATCGACAAATGGTAAGGCTGCTGTCCTTTCCACCGACCAATCAAAAAGCTCAATAACTGTAGGCAGAATGTGCTAACGTTTAATTGGTTAATTTATGAAAATTTTAACTGAGTAATGGGAGTTTATTCAATCTAGTAATTGAAGCTTCTTTGGAGGATACTTCTAGTTAAATATTCGTTGAGGTTATCATATTTGCCTTCAATTCGATTTTTCAGAGATGAAAATGTCTGGTCAAAATGAATGATTTTTGAATAAGTGCAGTAATTACCACTTATAGGCAGGTAGAAAATATTTCAAACATTCCTGAAGGTGATCACTATAAAACATAGCTTATGACTTACCTTAAAGAGGTGCATTTTAAATTAGCGACTAATTTGAATGTTTGCGTAGTCTGAAAGCCTATATGATTAAGGTATTTCCATAGCTCGATATGCACAAATGCGTTGTCTTTTCATTTAGTGATTGGTATAAATGTGTGCCTATAATACTGACAAGTTTTCATTCTTCACATCTTCCTTGACAATATTTCTTATTGCGAGTAGGATGATGGGAAGGCTCTCAACATAACGCATATTCGAGGAAGTGCCGATAATGGAGGATTTTAGTTGTCGGTGGAAACGTTCGACGAGTCCGTTGGCTTCCGGATGGTAAGCGATGGTACCAAAAATGATTTGAGCCCATGAGGCAGTTCAACTCGCAGAATAATTCAGAGGTGAATTGCGGATCTCTGTCTGTAGTGATTATGTAGGGAACGTCGAATACGGATATTCATGACTCTATCATGGCTTTAGCCACAGAGGCGGGACGAAAGGCCTTGGCTTGTCGGTTGAAACGTCACAGTGGATACATTTCTCTGAATCCGGTAGGACTAAACGTTCAAAACGTAGATGTAGTCGAGGTATCCCGCAAGGGAATGGCAATAGGTCAGCGGGTGGAACGGTCTATGCAGGTCAAGATGTGGGTAAAAGAATCGGACTGACGAAAAGGGCCCTACAATATCTACGTGAATATGTTTGAAGCGTGCCTCGGGAGGAAGGAAACTGAAGGTTCGCGCTTGGTGTGTTTGTAGACCTTACTGGCTTGACACTGGAGGCAATTGTTGGCTCACAAGCGAACGTCTTGGCGTATATTCATCCAGATGAAACGATACGGGTGTTGTCTGAAGTATCAAGATGGTGTAAAGCAGTTGCCTGTGATAGTTGTTGTTTAACCAGAGAAAATGCGGATTCAGCTGCAAGAATCATGTTGAAATGCTTTGGATTTCCCTTAAGCAAATCTGTAAGAGGCTGAAGTACTTGAGATGAATCTTCGATAGTAATTTATTACGCCTAGAAAGCGTTACAAACGTATTGCTGATTGGGGAGCTGGGTAGTCTAAGATAGACTCTGTCTTCTCCGGGAGGGGCGTGATTCCATGAACGTTGATGTGATGGCCCGAGAAATCGATCTCGGTCTGGCCGGATTACATTTTTCTGGGTTGATAACGATTCCGTATTGATGGAGACGTTCGAACACCTGCCTGAGGTGGTTTTTATGTTCATCAGGGTTGGAAACCTTCGATTGACACGTCGTCTGTATATATGAAGACTAAATATAACCCACGAAAGACTGGGTCCATAAAACGTTGGAAGGACTGGGCGACATTGGGTTGACCGAAAGGCACACGTTAGTATTTGACCAGGCCGAATGGTATAATTACAGCCATCTTCGTGATATTTTCTGGGGCCATTCGAATCTGGTAATAGGCTCGAACAAGATCGAGCTTGGAGAAAATGACTTTACCGTTCAGTTGCAAGGAAATATCGTGAATATGGGGTATGGGGTACCTGTCTGGTAGGTTAATGCGGTTGAGAGCCCGGTAGTCTCCACATGGTCTCCAGTCACCGGTTTTTCGCGACCATATGCAATGGAGAAGCCCATTGGCAGTTCGGCGGTCTAACGATTCCTAGGGTAATCATGTGTTGAAACTCTTGCTTTGCCGCCTGTAGTTTATCGGAATGTAGGTTGCCCCATTGTGGTGATTTGAAGTTGGACGCTGTGCTTGGTCTCTGAAATCTCCGGTTGCAAACGAAAAATGGAGAGAAACTCGGGCAGAATGTTCGCTTATGGATTATCTACCGGGAGGAGCACGTTAAAACCGAAAGAACCTAGGGGCTGCGTGGAGCCGACCACACGCATGGATGCAAGATTGTCTAATTGAGCGTTGTCTTTGAAATCAACTTATAACTGGAATCTTGAGAGGAAGTCGGCAAAAATGATGGTCAGTCGGACATAGAAGACAAACGGGAACTCTCGACGGAGGCCAAGGTCCAGATTGAGAAACTTTTGCCCATAGACCTGTATTTGGTTATTATTTGCTGCTACGAGGGAGGTCCTGGTGGCTTATGTACAGCGTTTCTTTTTAGAACGCGGAATAACGCTTACTTCGGAACCCGTGTCCACCGAGAACTTAAGTTGGGAGTTCTTGTCTGTAATGTATAGCAGACGAATAGGGTAGCGGCCAGGATCAGTCGTCGCCTTTACTGCCTGGCGTGATCTTTTCTCATCGGAGTGCGTTGTTGGCGTCTACGGTATTGACTCTAAGGGGTGCATTTCTTAGCGTCTTCCCCGTTGGTGCGATGGTAATAGCAGATCGTGGTTTCATTTTCTGATAAACTCGGACGTCTTCTAGAAGAGCACAAACGTTGCCGGCTGGGTTGAGATGAAAAGCTCGAAATAAATGCCTTTAGTTCTTGGAATTGGTCTGTGAGGTCGTCCAATCGCTGTGACATGCTGTCAGGTGTGGCTGAAGTCCTTACGGCGTAGACACTAGGTCTGCCGCAACGTCGATGGACGCGATCGGCCACTTCAGCCAATTTACCTAGGTCGTCTTAATACGGACTAGTCATGATTTGTGTGACTAAGTTTTCTGGGAGTCGATTTAGCCACAGTTCTCTGAGAATTCCTGTGGACAAATCCTTGGGATCGACCATAGAAAGCATGTGACGGAGGAGTTGAGATGGTGTTCTGTCACCGAGTTCGGCATCTGCAAAAGGGCTTTCTATACGTTTTTATGGAGGAGCAGAAAGATGTCCAGTGATAGCTTATTCGAGGCGGCCATACGAGTTACTGTCCGGTGTTTTGGTAACTAAATCCTGAAATGGTTGCAGGATGTCACTTGGTAAGGCTACTGTCAGATGAAAGAACCAGTTTATACGTTTCGAAATGCCTCCTATTTTGAGAATATTCTCGAACTGAATAAATCTGATTTCTGCACATCCTGGTTTGAAGGCTAGCCAGCTCCGGATGATAGTGGATAGGAGCACTTTTCTCACTAGCATATATTCGTTTGTTGAAGATGAAATAGATTATTGAAGGATTAAGCGTGAAAAATGCCTTTTGGGGATATTTCAATTCGCTAGCAGGTACAGGCTTAGTTCATAAAACAAGAAATTAAACAAAAACAAAAATTTGTTATCTCATTTAGGTTAACTGTCATCGTTTTGCAATATGACTGACATCAGCATGGAATATATTGACAAAAGCTATATTGTCAGGTTTTTTAATTGGTTGAAGATCAAATAAATAGAGCGATGGCAAAAGCTACGCTCCGGACGCAATCAATTAACCCCCCCCCCCACTTCCCCCTCCCCCGGGTAGAGCAAATCACCAGAAGCCCCGAGTAAATTTTGCCTCCATTTATATCTTTTCCCGCCCAATACAAAGCAAAAGGACGCTCTGTCAATAGAAAATGAGGATACGTCTTCTTTCAATTCGATTATAGCTGGCCATGGAGTGGTCCAAAACCAGTCCAGCTGAAGATTTTACACCCTTTTAAAAACAAAATTCATTCTTTTAATTTAATTAGTCAACATTCAAAAGGGGGTCCCGGGGGGGGGGGTTAGATTAGCAAAACATTAGGGACTTACACATGAAGTTATTCTTACTTAGTCGTATTCAAACAAAACGAGTTTTGATTAAAAGAATGCTCTTAAACATTATATATCTTTTGGAAAAAACATCATTTTCTCTTCTCTTGTGCATTCTAGAGTTTTTTAAATAAATTTACCTAATAGCAAAAATTATTCATGGTGGAAGCTTTCTTCCTTTTGTCCGATTTAATTTTTGTGAAACTTGTCCGAGACTTGTCTGAGGAAACAAACACCAGTGTATACTGTTGAAAGGTTTTGTTTTGTGAGAATTTATGAGCAAAATAGTGACGCTTTATTAAGAAGAAAATGAAGCAATCAATTAATAAAGTTAACGAATGCATTATTAGTTTGCAATTATTATGAAAGTTGAAAAATTTCAACATTTTTTTATTGAAAAACAATGACTATTAATCGAATGCTTTTGTAACTAATCATTTTTTTTGTCTATGGACCTCCTTTCAATGTGAAAGGCGTTTGAATTGTAACGAAAGATAATTTTTTGCAACAGCACTTCTGTTTTGCGGCCCAGAGTTTCTGTTCACTAATTAGTACTAAAATATATTTATTTTATTTAATGAAAAAATTATTATTATATGGGTTTATGAGGATAAACCAGACTTATGCTCCAATCTTTTGCGCACCTGAAAAAAAGAATATATTTTCGTTCATCGACGCTTAAAATTGCTGAAAATTAGTAACTCCATTACTTAATTAGATGGCTAAAATAGTAGTATTATATGTAAAATTTAAATAAAGAATTAAAGTAAAAACATTGCATTCATATTATTTCTATTTTTACTAATTTAAAGTTCATTGCTGAAGGAACTGTAGCGGATTGCTACCTTAGTAAAGCCTGACTGACTCAGAAATCTATATGGCAGATTCTCAAACATCTAGCTAGACTCCCAGAACCAGCTAAGCTATAGCCCAGCTATAAAGGAAACACGTGTAGCACGGAGCACGTTTATTCAGGACGTATATTGCGGATCAAGTGTGTACACGCATGGAGCTACTCGTGATCAGGATGGGGAATTAGGTTAAACAGA